GTAAGTAAGTAAGTAAGTAAGTAAGTAAGTAAGTAAGTAAGTAAGTAAGTAAGTAAGTAAGTAAGTAAGTAAGTACATAAGTAAGTAAGTAAGTAAGTACATAAGTAAGTAAGTAAGTAAGAAGTAAGTAAGTAAGTAAGTAAAAGTGTTTATATGTGCAGAATATTGATGTTTTCACCTTGAAGAACCACATTTGCTTTATTTCCCAGAGTCCAAACTCTTCTCTCCTTTTAATCAGCTCATTTTAACTCATCAAATATTAAAATAAAAGCACATATTTTCCATTTTTTCCCACCAATACACAGGCAGACCTTTCTGTTTCAGGGTTGGGTCACGGTGTTAAGTACCTTGGGCAAGCTGCGTGCCGCGTGGAGGATTTTCTTTCTGTGTCCCGGGTCAGTGATCCCCATGTCTCTTAGATCTTGGTCCTCCATCACGTTACTTCCCTGTGTGTGCACAAACATGAGAGAAGCATGCAAATAAACTCATTCACACACAGGCGCGYGCACACGCACACTCTCCCACCCGAAGTCACCGAAACATCCAGATGAACAACCACTCGCAGACAAATGAACATTATGTAAAGCTGAGACCATGAAGTATGAGAAGAATCTGTGTCTCATTCAAACACAGTACAGCTTTTGCTCAGAAAATAGCCTATCAGGTCAATACTTTTGGTCATGACTTAGAGAAAGGCACGCACGCACACCACATGCACATTTGCAGAATATGCACATCTCTGACACGACTAACAAGTGAGTGGGAGGACAATGAAGTCAAATAAATTGTGCACGCCAAGAGTAATCAATCTAATCTGGCGCGACTCGGGGGGGGAACAAAGACTCCACAACAGCAGCAGCAGCAGCTACAGGATGTCTTTGCTGCTGCGTGTCGTTGTGGGACACAAAACTACACATGTTTGACGAGCATCTAAAGCCTGATTCGGAACATGGAAAGCATGCGCAATAATTGCTCCCCGAAATCCTGAAATCTTGAGCGAAAAAGGCAGATCTCGGTCTGTTTCATGTTCAATCAAAGCTCCAAACGTTTTGTCATTTTTCTTCTTCTTTTTTTCCCCCTTTTATGAGCTGGGATAAAAGCACAAGGACGGCCATGGAAATGAGGAGCTAAATGTTTCCCCCCGCGGTCTGCTGCAGATTGATTCTCGTTGGCTAAGAATGTTAAAATGTTCTGTTAGTCTTTACTCAATCTCGCCGGATTGATTTGGGAGCACAATGCAGCAGTATCCACGGGCTTGCATCAGGGTGCAKTCAGGAGATTACTCACTGATCGCTGGAATAAAGGTCAGGATGAAGTAGGGTCGGACGTAAGGGAGGCCCAAAAATAGATTCTCCACTTTTATTAACACAGTTTGAAGTTTGATGATGCCTCGGGAGGCTCTGCAAACTTATTATTTCATGCTGCATTTGAAACATGTGACGGGAATGTATGGTTCAGTTCTTACATAGCTTATGAGCTATGGTAGCTTGATTTAATCGGACACGACTTGCAGATGTAGACATGGAAGAAGTCCTTCATCTCACTAAATGCACTCGGTTAGGGCAGTGGTGAATTAGAATTGCTCTATTGGTCTGCCCCACAGAGGAATTGTTTAGAAAATCTAATTTTTGCCACTCTTTCAAGACTCAGTGGGCATTAACAGTGAACTGGTGTGGAAAAGTAGGTTTATGTGTTACAATATGTATGTTCAGTTCCACATTATACCATCTGAAAGAGAAAGGGCTGCAGAGTCTGATGCAATATTAATGCAGCAGAGATGCAATGTAAATGCATGATGGGTAACTTCTAAGGTGCCCCGCACTAGACGGTGTGCCTCAGTGCCACATTTGTTTGGAAATTAGAGCCAAAAAAAGAGAAAATTATGAGTATTTTTTTTGACAGAGAAAACGTAAAGGCAGAGAGAATAAAAGCCACCGGCGTCCCACTTCTGATAGCATGAAAAGCRCACAAAATGATAATCGTCGTGTAAAAATTATGAGAATGGGCACACGGCTGTTCATTATTCATGATCCCTCAAAAGCCACATCTCAGAGCAATCATCACATGCAGAGAGCCTTGCAGAATCATGTGAACGCCTGCTCTCCTGCTCCGATGGGCGGCTACACAGAAACTGTACAATAGATCTTCAGCTATGAGAGAAGTGGTCTGTAGGTGCTGCGAGGCTGGCTTGCTTCGAAAATATACTAAAGCGAGTTTTTATTCGCCTCTGGGCTTTCAGATAACTGAATCAACTTCGGAGTGGATCTCAGACATACACAAGTGCTTTCTTTGTCTGCCTGTCTGCCAAAATAACAAAAATGGAGCACTTGTTTTCACAACAGATCACTCCTTKGCTTCCAAAATGAATTTAAATAAACCTGAAGTGAAAATGAGCCACAGTGCTGCCCTCTACTGATCATGTWTTGAAGAGTCCCACAAATGAGTTCTGATTGATCACATCTGAAGCAAGTCTAGCACAATCCAAAAGGGCACAGTATTAAACATTCACAATGCCTGCCTGACTACTCTGACCTTTCTCTTGTTTGCAACCTCCACATCTTTGCATGGGTAATTTGTCCTGYGAGCCTAACGATTTATCTCTCTGATGTGTCAAGTTCAGCAGACACGTTAGTTGYGGCATGATCATGAACATGTGAATACCAGATGACCTATACACCACATCAACCAATAAGCTTGGACTCACAAGGCCCGTGCAGTTTTCAGCCACACATCAACAGCATCCATACATTTGTTTTCTTTGCTTGCTCTTTTTTGTGCAGGATTGAGTGAAGCTCTGATCAGTGTTCATGTCAACACATRAGAATTCATTTACTCATCTGTAAGTGTTGTGGTACCATTTACAACTTTTTTTATTGCCAACATGATTGTGGATTTTGGCAGCTTGGGACACAAACATAAACATACATATATATAAAAGTAAATCTGATTATCATGTTTTCTGCACCTTTCTCATAATCTTATAGAAAATGGATGGATGGATGGATGAATGGATGGATGGATGGATGGATGGATAGGTTGATGGATGGATGGATGGATGGATGGATGGATGGATGGATGGATGGATGGATGGGTTGCTAAATGGATGGATGGATGGTTGGATGGATGATGGATGGATGGATGGATGGACAGACATATGGATGGATGGATGGATGGATGGATGGATGGATGGATGGATGGATGGATGGATGGACGGATGGATGGAAGGATGGACGGACATATGGATGGATGGATTGTTAAATGGATGGATGGATGGATGGATGGATGGATGGACGGATGGATGGATGGATGGATGGATCAGAGTGTTTGTGGATGGATGGATGGATGGATGGATGGATCAGAGTGTTTGTGGATGGATGGACGGATGGACAGACGGACGGATGGATGGATGGTTGGATGGACGGATGGATGGATGGATGGATGGATGGATGGATAGGTTACTAGATGGATTGATAAATGGATGAATGGATGGATGGATGGATGGATGGATGGATGGATGGATGATTCATACCATTCTAACTGGGACTTCTTATTGTTCTCTGGTGGACACTTTGTAAATGATCTTGGACAGATCACTGACTTGGACCCGTTTTTTACATCAATACCAGTAAGATGGCTTTAAAGCTGGGTAATAGATATTTGATCGAGCGACGAGCCAAAGATCTTTTACTGTAACAAATCCAGTGATGAACAACWCTTATAGTCTTGTCATCACCTGAACACATCAAAGTAAATCTAAAGCTTATATACTACAGACCGATTACTCATGTGATACTGGCACCTTTAAAAAATATAGGCCATGCCTGAACATAAAGTTTCTACAGGTGTGGCAAATAGCAAATTAAAAAATATATATCAAGTCGATGAAGTAGGAAAATGAAGAAGCAGCAGAGACAACAGCCAGTTTACAAAATTTACTGAGGGGTTTTAAGCAGGAATCTTTTAAATTTTCAAGTGTAGAAGTTGTTCTAACACAGAGGTTCCCAAAGTTGGTGTTGGAACCCTGTGGGTCCTGAAATTATTTTCACAAATAATTACATTTAAAAATATCTAATAATTTGTTTTGTCTTAACTGTTACAAAAATGTGAGGTCAGTGTGCTTAAAAATGGATAAAAATAGCATATTGTTACTAAATCCATGTTATTTTGGCCTGAAACCAATGTTCGTCACCCAAAAATARTTGGGCACAAGTCTCTGCTACTGTTGTTTTGTGGGTCAAAGGATTAAAAGTTTGTGAAAATATAGTTCTGAGGTTTTAAGTACATTACTCAAGTTATGTAATTATTGCCTTAAAATGTTTAAAATTTGGGGTTGTTTATGGGCCTTCAGCTGCCCTGATTTCTAAAGAAATTTTCCATAAAAACTCACATTGGTCAACCTCTGTTAGAACAGGGATCACATGATCATGAGAACTCTCATGATAGCAATCATCTAAAGCTTTCCCACAAAGTGAGAAGCAACATTTCTCAGCCTGAACGCTTTGTGAATAGAACCTCGTTTTTTTCTTTCCTCAGAGCTTACTGATCTCCGTTAATCGAGCTCAGCTGTGACCAAAAAAAAGATGTAACACATAGCCCCTGGTTCAAATACAGCTCTGTGGTCTGAGAAATGTCCAAATTTACCCACCGGACCTACTTTTTTATAGCGTACAACCTTGTATTCAGAGGAACATAACCAAGGGACGGAAAATCTAATGATGTTTTCAACAGACCCTGACAATTGCACTATCATGTTTCTCTGCAATGTTCTTTACTGGAAACATGATAACGCTTTTAGTCAGATTGTGAACATCCCTTTTTTGAGCTGCAGCTGAATGAAAATATTCAAATGAAATCTGACGTAGTTCTTTCCAAAATAATACAAAAAAAATTGCCAACCATTTATGGAAAATGTGTCAGTCTGTTAAAATATATATACATGTAGTAATCATTATTTAACCATCATGTTGGAAAAATGATCATTTATTTACTGACTAAAAAAATAATTTAAAACTAAAACATGAAAGTGTGTTTTTCAACATATGTAGCATCTGCTATGAACATCAAATACAAATCATTCCTTTAACGCCAGAGTTTTAGACCATCTTAAGTTGAGAAACAAGAGTTATTGCCATTTTGGTTAAAATTTTATAATAACTTTTTATGTAGAGAATGCTGTGTTGAGAATGAAATCAAAACTAAAGATCAGCCAAATATCAGTAAATTTAGYCGAAGCWTTAGTCATTTTGKGGTTGGCTGAGCTTGATYAGCTGTGGCAGCCATCTTGATTTGRGTTGACTTCAAAGGTTAATCTGCTGTAGGAGTACATTAAATGACAGCTTAAAAGTTTTATTAAAATCAGAACAGACAGCACTGGCTTTAAGTTGAATATCAAAGTTTTAAGCAAAGATGCACAACCTATAGAACTGAGCATATATGTTTTGTAAATTACTCTTACAGACCAAAATTTAGCTCATTATTTGAAAAACTGACTGATTTTGTAATGGAACTAATACTTTTAGGTTTAAGCCAGTAATTTAGGACATTGTCATTAAAATATGTCCTAAATTACTGGCCCCCAGAAAAAGACCGTAGTTCGTAGACGCCAAAATTGTTATGGAAATATTCCATTAAGGCAGTTTCACTTTGTTTATTTCACATGTTTCTGTCTTAATGGAATATTTCCATAACAATTTYAAGACATTTTTGTGTTTGTTACTCTTGAATTGTGTTGAAATCAAACATTATTCAGTTGCAGTAWGCACTGTAATAAACTGAGAATTTCATTAAATTCTGTCAAGTGGTTCATTAGAAATTTTGCTAATAGTCAAACACACACACAGACATACACAMAGACAGGTAAAAACAACATCCTGCCTAATGGCAGGCAATAATTAGTGCATGCTGCTACAGTGTTATGATCCATTGTGCAGTTATTGCAATATTGTCTCATTAGGACTTCGAGCAAAGTTAAGAAGTGTTAAAATGCAACCGTGCAGGATGTAATTAAAGTAAACTTCACTGTGTTTGGATGGAGGATTGTCCTGATCGCATGACAAATAATAAAGGGATTTATTAATGGGAAAGGAAGTAACTTTGGAAGTGTGCGGTAAAAGATAGGGTGATGGGGAATGCTGGGAAAAACAAAAGCTAATGGGTTGTTGTTGTCATTCGTCTTGCTACTGGTGGCAGCTCGTAGTCTTTTAAAGGATTCAGCGAGGAGCCATAAATCTTGGGCGGGACATGCGTTGCGCAGAGTTGAAGAGGCGATATTAGGGAGAGAGTTGGGGGGAACGTGTCATGAGGGAAGGGTGAAAGGGTGAGGAGGAGAAATAAGGAGGTTGGGCCTTTAAGAGACAAGCAGAGGGGTGAGTGAGTGGAGTGGTGGTGACACAAAAAGACAAATGGAGCCGGGCTGACACAGGAAGAGACGGGGTGATGTAGAGTGGATCCGACCCCTAAGCTGACATGCCGCAGGTGACTCACCATGAATCGTAGGTCATCAAAGCCATTGAGCAGGAACTTGCTCTCGTACTGCGGCAGCCCCACGTGCTCCAGCCACTCTCCCACCGGCTGGTCCAGGGCTTTGCCACAGGCCCCATCTGCCGAGAGAGGGAAGCGCTTCAGCAGGGAGAAGCCGTTCAGCCGGTAGCAGCGGCACTCAGAGGACGACACATGGCATTGCCACATCATCCTCGGCCAGCAGAGGCAGAGCCGAGTGCAGCAGCACCAGGCGGGGTGAGGGGGAGACAGGGTCCAGGCTGGGGATGAGGGGCTCCCACGGTACAGGCGGGGGGCCCGGCTAAAAACTCAAAACACAGGAGGAGGGTAGGAAGGAAGTGCTGCAGGCAGGCACCGCTCGGGCCCTGCTCGGGGACTGACTAGGCTACTGGTGTTAGTGTGACTGACTGGAWATGTCAGGCGAGGGTGGAGGTAGTGCAGGGAAGGAAGCCCATCTGAAGCTTGGGTTTGTTAATACTGTTGGACCGAGCCTCTACGGCGCCTTCCAACAAACAAGGTTCACTAAACATTCCTTTAGTGAGCAGATGAGCAAGTGTGAAAACAAAGTCCTAGCTAGTCCAAAAATATGACAGTACTCAGTGCTACAAATCAAAAGCCTAGAAATGATCTATCACCAAATTATACATTTTCATATACCACACATTATATGCTAAATATTTTCTTGTCATTATAGATATATATGTAATAAAATCTGCGTTAGGGTGTGACACACATATTCAGTTCCCCCAAAATGAATTTGACAGGGTTTTCACCACATACTTGTAAAGCTCTGGCTGAGTCCCATGGCTTCATTGGTCAACCTCTTTGAGAGCTAGGACAAGGCTCATACAATGAAGGTAGCAGCATTCTAAAGTACTGTTGAGGTACTCGTGTTATTTTTGATCAAGGAACACACATTTTTCCCCCCCTAAATCATATTCCGTCAATACTCCAGAGCCACACAAGAGTACGTTCAGGTAGACATATTGTAAATCCTACATCAAAGAAACGTTGGCTTAAGGTTTCCACAGTGYGCCAATGCCAAACTCCTCAATTCATAATCAAATCCACGTGTATATTCCTTTCTCCGGGTGAGACGTTTGGGAAAAGGCTCAGTGTCCTTGGTGTTCCCGGCGCTGCCCAGCATCCACACTCTTCTGCAGGCTGCTTGTCTGCGCCCCGCCGCCACAGAACCTGCTTCTCATCCCTCAAAAGAGCGTTAAAATCCCAGGTTCAGATCCGACGCACGGTAGGCGAGCCTTCTCGACTCTGAAGCCAGGATCACAGCAGGACCACAGTGCTCGTTGCGCTGGCTCCTTCCTGAGGCGAGCAGCTCCCCCCCCCCCCACCAACACCACCCTCCACTCCTGTCCAAAGCCCACCTGGCTCCTCTCCTCGCTGGGTACAGCTAGCAGCCTCTGTGCTCAGGGCAGAGGTTTGCTGCATCCCTTGCCTGTTCGAGACATGCAGGCAGCGTAGATGCAGGGACACGCACGCACACACACTCGCACGCACACACACACACACACACACACAATACCCCCCCTCACTGCTCACAGGGCATAACGTCCTGATGCTGGCTTACTTCAACACCGAAGACCACAAACCTGCCTCAACATCAGCCGCTGCTGCCACGTCCTTCCAGCATCCACAACGGGCAACACACTCAGAGATCATCCCCCCCCCACCCCAGCATCCGCTTTTCATCCGAGCAAACCCCTCAAGCGCTTCTTTTTAACTCCCCCCCTCCTTCTCGCTCTCGTCTCCCTCTGCTTCCTTTCTCTCGTTCTCATAGCCCCATTCCCATGCTGTGTGATCGCACTGCAGGTCTGCCGTATGTCGCCTCATGAAGCGGGGTGCCGCTCCACCTCTCCCCCACTCTCTCTCTTTCTCCCTCACACTATATCAGTTCCCCTCCCTCTGCCGCCCCCCTCACACACACTATCTGGCTTGCACTCTCCTTCACTCCATCTCGCACTTCGCCTGTCGCAGACAGATGAAAACACACACACACACTCTTTGAACTCTTTCCATCACCTGTGCCTGCCTCTCTTTCATTTACCAGCAAACACCTGCATGCCCTATCCCTGCGTCGTACCCCCTTTTTTCCACTTGGCTGCGCTGATTAAAATTACACAGAAGCCTTGTGATATTGCCAACTAGGGAAGGACACCATCATCGGCGGCAAGAAACACTGAGAGCTCAAAAATCACCGTTCCTTTCGTTTTTTCTTTTCTTTTATTCAGTGAAAAGAATGAGCGTTCTGTTTGACGTGAAGGGACTTTGCAGTTCTGCAGTTAGCTACAACTAAAAAAGCCGGATCACCTCTGCGGACCTGGGGACAACCAAACACCTGAGTGTTAAAATGTCAGTGTTAAAMTTTTCGGGGTCAATTTAACTCCCCTTAGTGTTATTTTAACACTTGCTGAGTAAACTGACACCCAGTGTTGGTGTTGATACACAGTGTTGATTTCCTCAGTRTTGTCTCGACAATGAATACTGTTAAATAAGCTCCGCCCACTGTTAAGTCTTATATAACACTTAACAGTATTGTTATATGACACCATGCAGTGTTGAAGAAAGTATTTTGAAAAAGCCCCGCCCTCTTCCACCTCATGTCAGGCAGACCAGTATTTTCACAGCAAGGAATGCTGGGTAATCTTGTAGAAATGATGTGGTTTTTTTTTTTCATGTTTATGACTATTAAAGAAGTTCATGAGTGTAAAAAATTAGTTGTTCTAGTTGGTTGTTTTGTTCAAGTTTATCAGTTGATCAAGTTTAAGTTTGTGTTATTGAGAGGTACTTCCTGGTGTGTGAAGGTCGACTCGATTACACTTATCCTGAATCTACTGTGWAATGTTAATGTAACACTAAAAAGAGTTGATCTTAACTCTGAAGTGTTAAGCTTACACTTTCAAATTTGCTGTGTAATGACACCTCAGTGTCTGCACAGCAAAAACAGGAGTGTTAAAATGTCAGTTTTAAAACTTTTGGGTGTTGATTTAACACTCCCTAGTGTTATTTTAACACTTTGAGTACACTCACACCCAGTGTTGGTGTTAATCCACAGTGTTGATTTCCTCAGTGTTGTCTCAACACTGGACAGTGTTAAATAAGCTCCGCCCACAGTTAAGTCTTATACAACACTTAACAGTGTAGCTATATAACACCATACAGTGTTGAAAGAAGCATTCTGAAAAGCCCCGCCCTCTTCCACCTCATGTCAGACAGACCAGCGTTTACCCAGCATTCCTTGCTGAGAAATCTTGCAGAAATGATGTTTTTTTGCATGTTTATGACTATTAAAGAAGTTCGTGAGAGTAAAAATTAGTTGTTCTGGTTGTTTTCTTGTTCAGTTTGATCAAGTTGTTCAACTTTAAGTTTTTGTTATTGGCCAAAAATCGACACCATGAGTGAGAGGTACGTCCTGGTGTGTGAAGAGTGACTCCATTATACATTACCATTGAGTGTTGATGCAACACTCCAAAGAGTTGAGTGCTAAATTCACACTCTCAGTTTGATGTGTATTGACACCTTGTGGTGTCTGTTAACATTTCAAACACCACAATTTCCTTCGTTAATAATAATAATACACTGGTGATACTTTTAAAACTGTATTTTAACACTGTTGAAATGTTAATAAGACACCCAGTATTGTTGAACATTAAACACTGGCTGGTGTTACATTTAACACTATATTTTAACACTAACACTATTTTTATGTTAATGTGACACCAAGAATTGTTTAATATTAAACACTGGTTGGTGTTAAATTAACAAAAAATGAGTGTTAAATTTTAACACTTTCACAAACGTTATTTTAACACTAGCGAGTGTGGACACATATAGACATTTTGTTGGTGTTAAAATTAACACTGTGGGTGTTAAATTAACACTGGCATTTTTGCTGTGTGTTTTACACCCCTCTACACAGCAAAAGAGTAAATAATCAACACAGTAGAGTGTCAAATTAACACTCGTAGGAGGTATATGAACCTCCAGTGTTAACTATCAWCAAGTGCAGTGTTGAAAAGCATGAGAATCAGAGTTGTCACCGCAGTGGAGTACCTTATTAACTCAGCTTAGAATCATATTTACTCTCATCAGAGTTATTTGACTTGAAGTGTTAAGTTTTATTAACACTGTTCAGTGTTAATCAGTGTTAATTTTTAACTCTGTTTAGAGTTAAATAGTACTCAGAAAATTTAACACTGTGGAATGAGTTAAATTGACACCAATTCAGATAAGGACCAAATAGACTCGGACACAGTGTTAAATTTAACTCTTTAAGTGTTGATTCAACACTGCCTGGACTTTGGGACAACTAAAATGCGCCAAAGGAGTGAAGTCAGCGATATGTTCATGCTTTACAAAAGGAGCTGCAGCGTTCTGAAGTAACAGTAGTCATGAGAGGCTAACACCAACATACAGAGTTACAGTGATCCAGCTCAGTTGTAATAAAAGCGTGAATCACCCTTTCAGAATCATTAAAGGATAAAAATTATTATATTTTAGATAAAAGCCTCATTTTTAAAATAGGATACCTTTACTACAGAACTGATCTATTTCTCAAAGTTAAAACTTAAATTAAAGATCAACCCCAACTTTTTTTATGTGAAATTTTACAAACAGCTCAAGGCTATTTGTAGAAGGGCTGTGGTTTTCACCAGGACCATAAATAATAACTTCAGTTTTTCTCATTGAAACTTAGGAAGTTTGAGGCCATCGATGCGTTTACTCCAGCGAGGCAGTCAAATAGTGGGTTTTAGTGGAAAGAGAATGATTGCTTGTCAAACTGTAGGTAGATCCAGTCAGGTTGGGGGAGAGGTGTTCCAGCAGATGATGTCAAAAAGCTTCAGCAAAAGTCTGCTGTTGTGTTTTCCCGGTCGAGGTGGAACAGTGCTAAGGCAGACGCAAAAAAAAAAAAAAAAAAAAAACACCCAGAAGAAACAATGGGAGGGAGAAGCCTTCTGGGCCTCCAGAGTTGCATTTTTCCAAGTTTCTGAAAAGCAAAACAAATATTCGGAAGAGGCTGGTGTTCATAGTGGAGTCTCCATTTTAAAACAAAAATTGCAAAAAATGGACTGCAATAAACAGACAC